ATATTTAAAAATACTTTTCTCAGGAGCTTATAGTCAAGACTATTCTTATTATTCCACAAACTATTCAGAAGAGCTACAGGTCACTGGATGAAGAAACTGTATTTTCAAAAGTTATTGGGTTTAGGGGAAATCTTACAATAAAGGTTCATCAATTGTAACGATTTCATTTTAAATTATATTTAATTGTTCTTGACTCATTTGCATTTATGATATAAATTGTATTGCTTATTTTAAGTATATGCTGTATTGGTCAGCTTTCCATTGCTGGGATGAAATACCTGACACCTGACACTTAATGGAGGAGTATTTTCTTTTGGGTTGTGAGGTTTTAGTCCCTGGTCCACTGGCTACAGGCATAGTCATCATGGCAAGAGAGTGGGGTGGAGGAAAGATGATCAACTCCTGGAGACCAGGAAGCAGAGCATGTTGGAAAAAGAGAGGGACAGACAAAGAGACAGAGAAAGACAGAGAGAGAAAAGAGAGGGGGGGGGGGAGACCCTTCAAGTGCATGCCATGGATGAACTACTACCTGTTCTATCAAGGCTCCAGCTCCCAAGGATAACTTCAGCTACAAATTTCACTGATGAAGTTAGCAAATCATGATCTAATCATCTTCTAAAAGCTCATTTCTGAACCCATAAGCCTTTTGAAGGATATTTTTGACCCAAATTCTGAAAATGGGGAAAACACTTATAGCTTATAACAAAAACAAGATACATTTCTTCGTATTTCAAAAGGGAAACAGAAAATTATCTTTTCCGTTTTTGCTCTACATACACAGGTTGTGCTAACAAGGAAAAGTGATATTAAGAGTTATGGAAAGGTACAGGTAAACGGGAGAATACTCAGAGTTTACCTGGTTAATTGAGCTCCCTCAAATCTCCTTCTGAAGACAAAATGGTTGGGAAATACAGTAGAAGGGAAAGAAACTGCTCAAAGGGAAACTATATATTGTTTGAACAATCTTGCAATCAGCAGCTAAAGATAACAATATGCAATATAACCACCGTTGTTAAATTCCTATCATCTTCTTTTGAAATCCTATACTACTAATAGTTTTTTTCTGTTGTCATTTTGCTTTTGTTGTTGTTGCTTTTTGATTGTTTGCTTCTTGATTTTTCTGCTTTTTTTTCTTTTAATAGTTGGGAAAGTTTGAAAATCTTGAATTATGTGAAACATTCATATTGAAATTCTTATATCATTACTTACCACTTTCATTCTACCCATACGGACATAAAATACTTTGTTTTTCTTTCTTTTGACTCTCATGTCATTCTGAACAGATCTTAATGACTCGCCTAATTCAGATACATAGGACCTCTTGGAAAAGGCATTTCCAAAAGGCAGTGATGCAGTGAAGCCCCAGCAGGGCTTCCCTGTTTCTGGCAGCTTTGTTTTTCCAGCAGTGGCTTTCACTCATTATAAAACCACAGGGGAAAAGTTACCTGAAAGAGAAACTTGGGAAGAGGAAAGGAGAGAGAAAGAGAGACAAACAGACAGATATTTGCCTCCACAAGACATTTCTCCCACACTAATCCCAAACACTAACATCTTTATGGATGCTAAGTTTTAAGTGTATGACTTAAGTTACATTAAAAGAAAGTCAAATTAAAAAATTTTACAAACAGAACAATATATATATATATTGACCTGTGCAAAATCGGTGTAAGTTTTTATCAGATTAAATCATCTAATTGACTTTTGTCTGTATTCACTTAGTGATGATGTCAGAAATTACTCACGGAAGCTGCAAGTTGAGAGAGGGGAAGCCTTGAGTCTTGACCTTGCAAGCAACTTGTCATAAATCAGTAGGGAGACCTCGCTGTCTTTTTAGGCTTTTGTCTCCTCTGGTGATATTTGAAAGGGCTGGGACAGAATGAACTCGAAAGTTCTACTCTGATGTTTTGGACTTGAAAGCCTCAATTACTGATCGTCAAAATGTTTTAATAAATATTAATAATATTCATACATTTTCATATTATTTTGTCACTCACAAAATCTTTTTACATATATGAGCTCCCTTAAATCTTTCCTGTGAGTCAGGCACATTTCATAGAAATTCAAACAAGCTCAGATAAACTGTAACTTACTTAGTAAGTTACTAACATGGCAGGACTGGAGACAGGTTTCCCATCTGAATTTCCATCTGAATTCAGCTGTTTCAAGGTTAAGGTAACATAAGAGCATGATTAATTAAGTTCTTCTTGAATCACAAAGTAATGACGTACCATAAAAAAAAGAATGTCTGAATTTAAAGTTAAGTAGATTTCATTGACAGCTCTGACACCATGATTTGCAGAATCCCATTAATTTCTTTAATCCTCATTTTCCTTATCTGTAAAAAGGGAGTTTGGACTCCATATGAATTAAGAGGTGTTGTGTACGTATATCAACTTCTATGATGAATATAATCATTATGTACTGCAAACATGTACTAATAAAAATAAAAATGAAAAAAATTAAAATTCTGACTTTTTATTAATGCTGTGACAAATTTTAGTATGGTGAAAGAATAATTAATGAAAACTTTCATTGTCTATAAGAAGTTAAAAAGGTAAGCTCAAAGTTTATTCCTACTACTTATTATTTATGCTCTTTGGACATTGGTGTATTAAAAACCTTATATTAGTATTACTGACTGAACTCCACTTCCCAACAAATTAGTCAATGTAAGATTTCGCAGATGGACAGATTGTTTGGCTGAGTTATGTATAAAATGTATGGAGTTGCATTTTCTGAGTGCTCACAACTAGAAAGAACTTTCTTGGGAACTACCGATAGAAAACCAATGCATTTTTTCAACCCTCTCTGCAATCAGTGAAAACTGTTTTCAGTGCTATCTCTACCTCGACGACCTAGTGTTTTATTGTTATGCATTCTTGTGGTGTTGAAAGCTTAGACATTTCATTATAATGAAAATGATGCAGGGCACTGATGGTGAGTATTTCTACAGTTTGGGACAATGAAGAGTTTTGAACTCGCTGCTTCTTGCCCGCCTTCCCACTTGAGCAGTACATTGTAACTTTTGAAGCTAACATAGAATAGAACATAACTGGCTTGCTGAGCTGGTCACTTTATGCACAATTAAGCCTTGTTAGGGCTTTCTGTATTTGTAATAGTGCTGTTACAGTGTGGGATGCTATTCAGCTCCAAACAACATCCCATTTAATAACTAGACATTAGTTCAGCTGTTAAATTAGGCCATCGCTAACAGATAAACATCGCTCTTTTCTTTGGCCTGCTTGGCTCAGAAAATCAAATATGCCTGAGCGTAGCCCTTGAAATGAGAAGGTGGGAAGAAGGGTTAATTGAGTATTAATGATCAAAATTCCATCTAGTCACAGTAACACAGTAACACCTTCTCTGAGGCTTTTTTTCCCTGCCTTTTAAGTTCCTAGTGAACTTGCCTATTTCCCAAAAAGTACTTTAAATACCATTTTAAACAAGATCATGGAAAGCCCTTCATTTAGTCCCCAGCATGCCATACAAAGACGGCAAAAACAACATTAAACACCAAACCAACACTAAACATGAAAAACTCTAAACAAAGTAACAGCAAAGACTATATCTCAGACTTTGAGGACATGAATATGAACAGAAGGGCATGAAAAACACATGCACTAAAAAGATAAAGGGATAATGTTAATAGCAGTATTATTTGTAATAATCAGAACTAAAAACAGTTCAATGTTTATCAAGAGTAGAAGAGACAGTTGAATTATGGTATATTTATATTATAGAAATTATTGCTACATTTACCAACATGAATAGCTTTTACAAATCTAACATCACAAGAAAGATAACAGACCCAAAAGTGTGGCTAATGTTTAATTCGGCCTACCTAAGAATCAGGTGAATTAATCTCCAGTATTATAAATTAGGGTAATGGTTTCCTTTGGGAAGGAGTAATAGGAACAGATCAGAGGGACAAGTGGAGGGCTTCTAAAATGGTAGAGAGCTGGATGTGATTCCATCACTCTGGCAACGAGGCAGGAGGATCATCGTGAGTTTGAGACCAGCCTAGACAACACAGTGAGTTCAACACTAGCCTGAACTACCTACCGAGATCCTGTTTCAAAAAACTGATCGCCAGTGGTGTTAACCTTTATCTGATCTATGCAATGTTTGTCAGGCTCCCCAAGCAGTTATTTTTCTAATGCTCTGTTCTTAAGGAGCAAGTCACTTGGCACAGGCTACACATAAGGTTGGTGTGTGGATTAAGCTTTGATTCTTGGGTTTTTTTGTTTGTTTTCGGTTCAGGGAATTGAACTCACTATCTTGCGCTTGGCAAGTCGTGCTGTGCCGCTGAGCTATACACCGCCCCTCGCCCTTTAATTCCTTTTTAAATGTTCCTTTTGGTATTCAATTTGCACTGCACATCTTATATTGGCTCAGTTTTATGTATAGCTTATAAATATCCTTATCACTTTATCTGTTTAGGAACGCGTATTACAACCTATTAAAATTTTTCCATTTTAATGAAAATCTTGAACAAGATAAATATACAAAATACAGAAAGGGTTATATTGTAGCTATTGAAAATACTGTCCAGGAAAATGACAAGGTGAGACCAAGAAAGTATGTTTCTTCATGAGAACTAGTGGTCATGGGCTTCTGCACGTTACGGTGGAAATGAGCTTGCGAGAAGGATTTGCATCTGGGGCTGCCCAGATTTATGAACTTGGTGACTTCTGCCTCAGAGCACTTTTAACACACATTGCACTTCCCTGCGGTTGTGTTGTGCGCCTAATACCTAAGCACCACCACCTGAGCCACTAATTCTGGACTGGAAAGCACTAGCAAGACCATACTACAGATGCTGGGCTGGTGCTTGGACGGGTGAGCAACCAGAGGGATTCCAACACCGGGTCCTAACCGGTGTGGGCGAGGGAGTACTGGGCCATTCACACAGCACCACCACTCGGCGGGGGAGTCCGCAGGAAGCCCCGCCCCCGGCCTTGGGGAAGCCCCGCCCACCGCCCTCCGGCCCCGCCCCTCCCCGCGGCCTCCGCGTCTTCCTTCCGGGTCGCGCCGGGCCGCCCTCGCCGCCGCCGCCGCGGTGCCACAGTGCCAACGCCGGGAGCCGCCCCGCACCCAGGCCTTCCCGCACCGCCGGGCGCGCCTCTCCCGGACCCTGCAGGGTACGGCCCTTCCCCTGCTTCCTCCTCCGGCGGGTCTCCGGCTCCTCCGTCGTCGCTGGGGCGGGGCCTGGGCGGGGCGCTGCGTCTCGGGCCGTGGCCGTGGCCGTGGGCGCGGGAGAGGCCCCGCTCGTTCTCGCCGCCGCCCGTGGCTCTGGGGCTCCTGGGGCTCTCCGGGGACCTGGGACGCGGCCTCGGCCCGTCGGGCGCCGCTGCGGCGCTGGCAGTCGGTGGGCCGAGGTTGTTGACGTCCGGACCTGCGCGCCTGCTCACCTGGCGCGGCGCCTGCTGCGGGCGGCTCTGCTGCGCGGCGACCACCCGCGGTCCCGCTGCCCACGCAGGCCCCGCCCTCTTCCTTTAGCACTACCACAAGATGCGGACTGCATTCTTGTTTCTGTGTGTAGGCCCGCCCCAGCTGATGATGTCCACTTGGCCTGCTTGACAACTTGTTGGCAGCGGGGGGTGGTTTTGGGTTTCCTTGGTTTGACGAAGCCCCCCGTAACAAAGCCAACGGATGCGTTCACTAACTGAGATACACAAATAATCAGAAAGTTGCGGTAATCTAAACGTGTGGTATTGGGGTTGGCAGAATACAGTGTCCAGCCCTTTGCCCTAGAGGGTTCCCTTATTTGCATTCTCTGTGCACTCCTTGGTTTCTTGAGGTCCTTGAGGTTTCTTGAGTGTACAGTTTCCGTTTTAAGCTTAGTTCATGCATCGTCGTCATGTACTGCACGTTGTACCTGATGTTTGAAAAGAGGGACATTTTCCAAATACTTCAAAGCTTCTATAGTTCTTTAGCAGATCTTAAATTCTTGTGGAAGAGGAACAGTGTCTTTGTCTTTCTGGTGGCAATGTGGATAACCCATTGAAAGCACTCTTAAGGGTTCATCAGATTCTTTGCGCACTTTCAAGTACCAACTTTTTTTTTTGTAACTGCTGCCCCAAACTGTTTTTAAGCAATGAGGTAGTAAATAACGTTAGTAACAGCCTATCTTTAATTTCTGTGTATTGTCAGCTAACAAAAACTACCGCTTTGTTAACTGTTAGTTTCATTGTCTCCTCCTCTCTCTCCTCTTTAATTTTGTTGTAGTCAGTATTCATCATCTTAGCTTCATAGATCTAATTTTGGTGTCCTTTTAAGAATGCCTTTCACCACATGAATTGTATTATAAATACACCTCTCATTTCTAGTGCTTTTAATAGTCTTTTTTTTTAATGTCTTAATGTGAGGTAGGAAGTAAAAGTCTTGTTAGCTGGTGACTTCATCGTCATGTGTTGTTTTAATACAGCGAATGTTTAATTTTTAAAAAAAACTTTTCATAGTGAAAACTTTTTACAGACGTATTCCCAAAAACATGGGATAAATATGTTCAAAGAAAGGAGGAGTCGCTAGTGTTTTGAGGGGGATTAGTGGTAATGTGTTTTTACTGTAATGAATTTTTAGATTTTTATACCATTTAAAAAATCTCCCTGTGTATGTGTTGTGGACGTTGATTCCTACATGTATGTGGAACTCTTTTTGAGTGTTGATCTCGGCCTGCCTGTGGTTACTGCCTTGTTGCTCTGGTCATTCTAGCTTTTTGCTGTTTTTTAGTATCTGCATATAGAATGCATTTGGTAGCCATCACTAAATACTTTTACTGGGAGCAAGCTGACTGCTTCTCTGTATGTCTTACGCCTCTTAAAGTTTCTAGGCTCTTCTTGAAGTTAATTTTTTAGTTTGTCTTTCCTATGTTCAGTTAGATTAGTAACTGTTGTTAAATAAATGCCTTCTGTTGCTTATTCCGTAATCACCACCACTACGTAGAGCTGCTTTCCAGAGTTGTATGTAGAGAAGCGGTTGCGTGTCTTTTGACTTTGCATTATGTTGTCTTATGTTTAGTGTCTGTCTTTGCAAGCTGTTGAAGGATCTTCTGTACCTCGTTTCAGCAGTTATGAGGTATAAATGTGATTCCTGAGATAAGCTTATGTCCATTTGTATTTTACCATCCCAACCGGACATCCTAAATATAGTAAATTTTCTTGTATTACTCTGATACCCAGTAGACCATAAAGTGATATAATCATTCTTTAAAAGTAATCAAACAGTATAGAATTAGCAGGAGGAAAAGTGTACTCCTATCAGTAACCTTGTTTCACAAAGATTATTGTTGTATAAAAATTTGTTCTCACGCCATCTAGATTTAAAAATGTTTGTAAGTGTGTAGTAGTTTCATAACTGGCAGTGTGCCATATAGAATTTTCTGCAGCTTCTACTTAGTAATAATTGATGTGTATCGTTTTGTGTCAGTGCATATAACATCTTAAAAAGTTTTTTCGATATTTCATTGTAGGACTAATTCAAAATTTAACCTGTCTCCTGTTAATACAAAGACTATTCCAAATTTATTTCTATATGAACCAAATTACACTCGGGTGTGTTGGTGTACACCTGTAATCCCCGATACTCAGGCGGCTGAGGCAAGAGAATCACTGCGAGTTCCAGGCCAACCAGTGCCACATAGTGAGTTCAAGGTAACCTATACTACATAAGTGAGACCCTGTCTCGAAAAACCAAAAAAGCAAAAACCACCCCAAAATTAAAAATTCATTTTTGTATGTCTGCCGTTACCTTCAGTTTCATTTCCATAGTTTGTTACCTACAGTCAGTCTCAGCCCAAAACTATTAAATGGAAAATTCCAGAACTAAACAATTGATAAGTTTTAGATTGGGCACTGTTGTGAATAGTGTGATGAAATCTCATGCTTCTCTGCTTCATGAATCATGTATATCCATGCTGAATCTACCACCTGCCTCTTAGTCATTTGTTAGCCTGTATGATTTCCAGATTAGCTGTCATGGTTTCACAGTGCTTGGATTTAAGTAATCCTTATTTTGTTTAATCACGGCCCCATAGGCCAAGCAAGGGTGGTAATACTGGAAATTGGGTATGCCAAAGAGAAGCCACCAATTGCTTCTATGAAGGAAAATGACTATAAAATTTATCACAGGTATATATGTATAGAAAAACACGTTGCATATATAGATTTCCTTATTATGCATGATTTTAGGCATCCAGCGAGAAAAATGCCATGTAAATAAGGGAAACAATTTATATATGTTTGCAGGCTTGTTTATTTCTCTAGTGTAAATACTTAAATTTCTGGGCCAGAGGGTATATATACATTCTAAATTCACAGAGAAAGTGCCATAGTCCTTTTCAGAAAAGTAGATGGTAAGAATCAAATTATACATTCTATAAGAATGTTTTTTTTTTTTTTGGCCATGTCATTGTCAATTGCTATTATTTATGCGTTTCTGGCAAACCCAAGAATTTTGTGGGTGCTGGCAGAAGACACAAGACTCCTGGGTCAGAAACAAAGCACAGCAATTGACAGTAGCCACAGAGTATCACCCTCTCCTGCAGTTTGCATAGTTTGATGTGACAAGGGCCAGAGGGTATTGGTAAATGCAACAGGTTGTGTTAAAGGAAAGGAGTCCTGAGTTTAGGGAAACTGAGCTGCTCACAGTAGGCTGTCGGTAAACATGCCTCCTTTGTCCTGGAGGGAGACATTATATTTCTGACAGTAAGCAAACTGTCCTCTTAGAGAAGGAGGCCTTCTTATCCACCAAGGCCCTGTGTTCTGTAAACACAATTATAAGATGTAATCTGAAACAAAAGTCCTCTCTGTCTTTGTTTATAAATATATATAAACTGATGTACATGTAAAATGTTGTCATAACTATAGCTGAGATGTGACTTTTTACATTTAGTAATTTTATGGATGAAAAATGTTTACATTTCTTTATTGAAAGTATTTTCATGATACTATCTATACATGCTTATTGGTATTTATATTCTCGTAACCTAATAAGACTGTTTTTTTTCTGTTGAAGTGTGTTTCATTTTCTTGTTGATTTGTAGTAGCTATTGTGACTACTAACAACTTGAAATACTATTTATTAATACTTTCTCATAGTATATTTTTCATTTGATGTTCTGAGAGCTTTTGCTGTATAAAATTTGAAGATTATATGTTTTTGTTAAAATTTATCAAACTACACATTTTTTAAAATGAGGTACATCTTTTGAATTGCAAAGGGTACCACAAATTGGTTCAACAATATTACATCATTATAGTTACTCTTTTAGCTATAATGTCTACCCAGGACAAATCTTGTACTGTGCTTGGATTTTTGTTAGGCAGGATAACTGTGAATCCACTCTATTTTATTAGGTATAATGTTCTTTATTTCACTTACAAAATTTGCAGTTAAAACATATATAGGTAATATTTGTCTAAATATAATTAGTACAGTTTTAATATTTACAAATGACATTTTTCTCTCTTCAACCAAGATTAACTAAGTTAATCTTCTTTTTCTTTCCATACTGGGAATAAAACCTAAGACGTTTGCTCTGAGCTACATCTCCAGCCTTTTTCATTTTTGATTTTGAGCTGGGCTTGAATTTTCAAGTCCTCTTGCCTTAACCTCTCTAGGCCCAGCTATTGGTTAATCTTAATTGTCTGACTGTATTAAGAGACTCCTGGAGAGGTAATTAGGCCACAGGTTGTTATACTTAACAATGAATCCGATCCCCTGATGTGCATAGCCCAGTGAGCTCTCTGGAGGTGGGGACCTTTGGAGGAGGTGGCTCAGGGGAGCTCCCTTGCAGGTACACACTTTGTTGCTGCTCTTCCCCACAGCCTGTTTCCCTGTCTGTGTCCCTGCAGTGAGCAGCTTTGCGCTATCAGGTGCTTCTGCTGTGATGTTTTCCCACTGCAGACCTATAGCAATGAAAGCAGCTAACCTGGTCTGAAGTGTCAAACTAGGACTTTCATTTGTCTGTGTCAGGCATGTTGTCAGTAAATCTAACCAACGTGACCGTGTACTCCTGCTTTTCAGTGTTGGGTAAATGCTTGTCGTGTGTTTGTGTGCTTTAAAGGTTTAGGGTTCTTCTGAATTCACCGTTCTTCCTAATCATGTTTTACTGTTACCTGTTACGAAGCCATGAAGAGAAAGGTAATGTATAAATAGCGTAATGATATCTCTGTTGAGGATACCTTATACTATCATCCCTGTGTAATTAGGAATGTGTCCTTCCTTGTCACTATGAAATAGTGTCTTGGGTAAGAAGAAGGTTTGCAGGTCTGTTGTATCAGAAAATCAGCATTCCATTTATCATAAAGCTTTTTTTTTAAGTCATTGATGCCTTTCATTCTTTTTTTTCTACTTTTCTTGCTACTATAAACTGAACGATAGCAAAGTTCCTAATGAACTTTTAAAAAGGCTTATTAGGCTCATATTTTTAGAAACTTGAGTTCTTGATCACTTGGCCCTGTTGACTTGGGTTTCTAGCAGCGGGTATATCATCACAGGAGAGGTGGTAGAAGAGGTCCATGTGTTTCAGGGCAGGTGGGAGGCAAAGATAGAGAGGCGTTGGGCCTGGGGTACCGCATCCCTTTCAAGAGCATGCCCACGATGACTGAACTTCTTCCCACTGGGCCCGCTCTCCTAAAGGTTCTACCACCCCAAGCTGAGGACCAAGTATGTGGTACTTATTTAAGGCACGGCAGGCCTTTTTATTAAAAAAAATATTAAAGTGAAAATGTCTTAACTAGAGAAGAATTTACCTAGGGAAGAGAGGTACGTAAAGTCTTACAATATCTCTACAGTAGACTCCTTACTGTACTGTTATTTTTAGTAAGTTTTAAGCATATAACACAATTGGAATGTAAATAATTATAATGAAGGAAAAGGGATGCTTTTGCTAACGCTTAGCCTGATTCTCCAATGTATATCCATTTGTTGTAACAATTTTAACCTGCCATTTTACATGTTTTATGTTCTTGCCTTTCGTGTTCTGTCTCTTTTCTTGGCTCTTAAATTCTCCCTTTTTTTTAGGCACTGCCTTTTTCACCCATACTTCTTCCAGTTCTCTGTAATCAACTAAGGGTTTAACATAGATTTAAGGTGTTATAAAAGACGTCATTACAGTTGAGAAAATAGCTTTCTTTTACCTCTCCAGTCATCTCTTTCATGAATCTTTCTTTAATTTCAATCAGAGTTTCTTTGGGGCCAGAGTCAAGTCTCTTTTATGTATTCAGTGGGTGCTTTTATACTAACAAAAGTTACTACTTTTTTACATTTTCTTTGAACAGTAAAATTTCAATATGTATACTATTCCTTTTTGGATTCCTTCAAAGAAGGTCATGCATTCGATTCTTACCTATTGTGTTTCAGTTTTTATTATTCATTTTTCCTTTTTCTCTATATGAAGATATGGAACTTTTTTTCCCATATGTATCTTAACTTGACATGTCACTGACTGTGTTTATTTTAAACTTTTAAAAAATTTTAATTTTACGTCATCTACTCTGCCAATCTCCATTAAACAAGAAATATTTTTTGAACATATATCAGCATACTTCAGGCCCTAAGGGTTTAGTTATAATTAAGATACATTCCCTGGATTTGTAGAATTCATATATTGGATAGAATAATATTTCAGCAAGTGATGTGTAACATATAATGATATGTAGCACACAAAAGATATGTGGGTGGTGAGGAAGTTTGAAATGGACTTTGAGAGAATGCTAAGCAGAGGACTGGGGGGAGTTTTGCTGTTTTCACTTGAAGACTTAAAGCACAGGTCTGGCTGATGATGGTGAGGGTTCTGGTGGGTCTGTAGCAAGGGTGGCAGGTATGCGGAAGTGAGAAGGAGAAGGTGCAGACAGGTGCAAAGGGGAGTGGGGCTTTCTTGTATGTCCTGTTATCAAAAAGACCATCTTTTTTGAAAGGCGCCTTTCTGCGTTTGAGAAGAATGAGGAAGATGACAAGCGAGGGAGGAGACAGGCTTGCTTTGGAGAGACAGTAAGGGATATAGGAACATGTGTTATTTTAGGGCTGGAAAAGAAGCAGGCCAGGAAAGAGGGCTGATGCTCTGTGTGGGGGCAAGTACAAGTATAATTTGGTGAGTACTGCACCACATTCAAATATAATTCCATTCTTTTCTTTCTTGATGCTTTCTCTTATTTCTCCTATTCTAGATTCAACCTGCGAAACTTTCCTTCAATGGGCACTCTTGACCAGTTTCTAAGAAATGATAAACATTTAAGGTTTGTCCACTTTCTTGACTTACCAACACATCGTATATTGTACTGCATTTTGGTACTGTACTGCAAAGCTGCCTAAGTCCTTTTTTCTATTATTTCATTGACATTACTGCAGAATATTCACAAGTAAGTGTTGTGTTATGACCCACTGTCCGTATGTGACTGTGCCTTGTTTTCTGTCATTTTAATCATTTTCCGTATCTTTTTCACTCTAATATAAATTGAGAATAGTCTGTTGAACATTGAACTTGTTTTCTGGGTTCATCCATCACCTCGTGAGTGTAGCTCTAGGTCATTCTGTTGCCTCTTTTTATTTTGTGTGAAGCTCACTTTCTTCCTCCTCTTCCCTGCTGAAGCACAGGCTCACTTCTTGGCAGTTCCTGCCATCCTGTTTCTCTCTGCCTCATCGATCCCCATCTCACTTCAGATCTCAGTGGTAAACATGTTCTCCTGTGTGTATACCTTTTAATTTCTCTTTTCCACTGTTACTGATCTCTCTGTAATTGCATTGTTTAACTTTCTCAAACATTTTATAATAGGAAAGATGTGGTTGAAAATAAAGTTGTATTATAATAAAATCATGTCGTTATGAAGCAAGTTGTTTCCCAAGAAATATGAAAGTCGTAAGACACAAATTAAAATGGCTGTTGTTTGTATTCCTTGGTTGTGTTAGTACTGTATAAAAGTTCAGTGTGTTTCAGAGAATTTCTTATAATCATTGTTCATAAGTGATTGAATTAAGCCCCAAATAAAATGAAGACCATTCTATTTCTAATTCTGACTTCTTGTTAAATGCAAATAATATGTGTTTTGGGAGTCCTAAAAATTAAAGATTATTAAGGAAAATCTAGTGTTCCAGACTAATATTTATGTATTTGCTCCAGATGAGGAAAATTATTTTGTCTTTGAATTCCATGCTCATTAAATAGGGTTTTATACCTTTTGCACTTGGTTCATTCCCTTTGGGATATTCACTGGTTATCGCTGATTACTTCTGCCTTGGCAGAAGCCCAGTCGTGCCTGGACAACGTGGATTTCCACATTGGTTGTTGCACCCACATGAGTCCCAAGAAAACGGCTGTATTCCTCTTTTCATTCCATTTCAGGGAAAAGTAGAAGATGTCCTTTCTTCTCCACACAGTCTTCTGCATGCCTAAGCCACCTTTGTGTGTCATCTTAGTAGGCTGAAAAGGAGTTTAGAATCAGTGAAGGGAATTAGCAAAAGGTTTATATGTTTTCACTTTTTATTTATAGGTTTTATTTATTTTCAAAAGCAGGTTTTAACTGGTATGGCATCAGTAGAATACCATTGATAGGGAAAGAATATTTGCTTTTTCAGTTCCATATACTGTTTTTTTTCATCTTTCAAAGTTTTTGTCTTTTTTAGATCTATTTAATAAAAATTAACTTTATTTCACCAAAATTAGCTTTATTCACAAAAATTAAAAGACTGCTTTTATACAGTGTTAGAAAAACTCAACTATTTTACATTTCAATACTGAAGAAGCTTGAACACATATTTACAGTTTATAACTCATTTTTACATATGTTGCTGCAATGCAAATTTTATTTAACTTTAACACAGCTTAAAAATAATATTGCCCACATGACAATCTTGCTGATTTTGACATTATCCTATAATCTACAGTGATAAAAACTTAACGAAGAGGCAATTTTAAAGTTTGTGGCTTGATATATCAACCAAAATTGACTTTCACAATTTGTCTCAATTCTCTTTTTGCCAAGAATATTTGTGAAGGTTCACGTGAATGATGTCTTCCTTTGCATGAAGCTTCTTTGGTTTTATAAAACTGTCTTGCTTTCTGATAAACAGTTTTTAAGTGAAAGTAGAAGGAGCTTATAGAATGAAAAATGATATCAAAGGTCATACCGTCCAGGTTGACCAAAATGTCATGCACTACAGGACTGTTTTAGTAAACGTTTGACTCCCGTTCTCTGAAAAATATCTTATTCTTGGGAATGCAAGCTTCTACCCTGAGTTTACTGACTGATCCTCACTCAGCTCATTTTTATAGTGGTCTGTAATTTTTTACTGTGATGCATCTCCTATATGGATTTGGTTTGTTCTGTGTGGAAGCATCTTTACAAAGAGGATTCACATCAGTGCTTACCACATCCTAAAAGATTTCCAGTTTGTGGTTACTTTTTTCTTTTTTGACTTAGGGTAAGGTGGGATTATAAACAGTGAAGTAGTGTGAATGTAGGCCTGATGCAAGTCAAATGCTTATAGGGCTCTGTTTCCCTCTGGTGACTTCCTCTGTCAGCATCAGGTGATGTCATGTCTACTCATGCCTTTGACCAGGCACCCAAGCTTTCGCAGTCCTGGTTTTATGTTTAGGATCAATCTTTTTTTATTTTTATTTTTTTTAGAGACAGGGTCTCACTATATTGCCCCGGCTGGAGTGCAGGCGCGATCCCACTACTGATCAGCACGGGAGTTTTGACCTGCTCCGTTTCCGACCTGGGCCGGTTCACCCCTCCTTAGACAACCTGGTGGTCCCCGCTCCCAGGAGGTCACCATATTGATGCCGAACTTAATGTGGACACCCGATCGGCATAGCGCACTGCAGCCCAGAACTCCTGGACTCGGGCGAGCCTCCCACCTCAGCCTCCCGAGCAGCTGGGACTACAGGCGCGCGCCACCACGCCCCGCATAGGATCAATCTTTTTGAGTTTTGGCTTTAGGAAAGTCCATTCAGATGTGACCGGTGTCTTGAGATAATCTTCCTGAAGGAGTGGTAGAAGTCCTTTTTGTATGATGGCCAGTAACCAGTCTCGGGAGTCAGGTTAGCTGCAGGTCCTGACCTCTGCCCTTCAGTTTCCTGTTTTTCACAGCTGTGAATTCTCCACACTTTAAGTTCATCTCTTTGTTCATTGTTTTCCTTGTTCTATTTCATCAAGTATTTTAGAGTGTTTGGACCCAGATCATATTAAGAGAAGGATGCTGTTGTATAACTTTTTCCTTTTTGTCGGTACCGTGGAACTCACGACTGCCTGCTTTCAAGGCAGGCGCTTATGCTGCTGAGCTAAACCCCCAGCCCCTCTGTTGTATAACTTAAAAAAAAATTAGACTTCTATAAAATCTTTCCTTTGTTTTCTCATGACCTTTCTATCAACATGTCAAGCGTTCTCTGCCTACATATGTACTGAGTGCTTTAAGAATGAAGACCTTAAAAAAACTTACATCTAAAATGGATTCATGGAGATAGGTCTAATACAAAGGCAGTGGGAGTGTGCTTACTAACAAGGAATAAGATGCTTAGGAAAGAAATAATAGGACAGTTGGGATTTAAAATATGAGGGGTAGTTAGAATTTGATCGGATTTTCTGGAAGAGATCTGGCTAGCTGAGGAGAACCTTAAAATACCAAACCAAGGATTTTAAATTCTATGCTGTATAGCACACACACACACACACACACACACACACACACACACACACACACACACACACACAAAATCATTGGACGCTTTGAGCAGGAGTGTCTGATAATCTTAGTGCTAGTTTTGGAAAGTGAGCACATTCTTCTAAACAGAAATTAGTATATTGTCCTTTTACTTAGGAGGAGTTTTACTTAGGACTTTGTGGGTAGCAAAACAACTATGGGACAGAGGTTGCCACTCTGTGAGGACTGAGGACAGTCCTGTGCTCTCAGGTAGGAGCCGACTAGGAACAAGAGTGGCCTCTGGGAGACCCCTGGCTTCTTATGGACTTCTTATGATTAAATTGGATCTTTTCTCCTCAAAGGATTTTTAAGGTAAAGTCAGGTGATGTAGTCCATGGAGGCTGACTTCACACTTGCTGTTCAAGGCCCGTGCTGGTCTTGAACTTGGGATCCTCTTTCTTCAGATGCTAAGATTACAGGCATGTATCACCATGGCTGGCATGTAGACTAAACTTTTTTTTTTTGGAGGCACTGGGGATTGAACCTAGGGCCTATACACTGAGTCCTTCCCCACATTTTTTTTGAAATTGTTTTCCTGATTCACTAAGTTACCCTTCTGGGTTTGAGTTTAAGATCTTTCTACCTCATTCTTCCAGATTGCTGGAATTATAGGCATGTGCCACCACACCAAACACTTGTTGTTTTTTGGTGTTTTGATCCCAGTAAAATATGTGTACAGGTGTATCTGAAGGAAAACTGGATCTGTAATCTTTGGATAAATGAGGTCCATTACTATGTTTCTTATTTTACTTTGTCATAAATTATTTAAATAATAATGCAGAGTTGCTGACAAAATTCAGAAAAATGTAGCATATTTGATTTTAAAGTTGTATGCCTAGTAGCTGTTTATTTGTAATAATAATGTTTTTGGAATATTTGACTTCCTGACTTAGAAATAAAAATGTTTTCCAAAACTGTTATTTTACAGGTAAAAAAATGTCGAATTTCAGCATTTGTATCTGAAAGCATCATACAAATTTCAGGCCACATGGATGAGTGCCAACTTCTGCATTTTCCTTGCGTATCCTGTGACCATTGTAACTGGGGTGAGTGATTTCTAAGTATATAGTTGGCAACAACTTAGGTGCCAGCCAGCCAGGGGCTGCCCTAACAAATAATGCTAGAGTTATAAATTAAACACTCTGGTGATCTGTGATGTGGAAGGCAGTTAATTTAGTTGGTCTGAATTAACGGTCTGCTCCCAAAAACCGTATTTGCACAATTTGAAACTTGTACTTAGCATGCTTGGAAAAGAATAATAAAAAGGTAGGAAATTATTTGTTAAAAATTAAATGATAGAAGTGCCTAAGATTACTTTGATTTGCATAAGTATTTTCAATAATTTCAATTTTAAAAGCTCAAGAACTTGTTATTTCATGAGTGATGCTTATAATTTTATATAAAATTGGGCTTTGAGGAACATACATCTTCCATTGTTTTACAGTATCAGTTTTATAAATGTTTTATACATTTAAAATGTTTAAGTTTCTTACAGATACATTAGATAAATTATTTATACCTGATATTCACATTTACAATTTAAAACTTACTTTCTCAAAGTTTCATTATGGGAAATTACATTGAGGGTAAAGCCTATTTGTTACCTTATCCATGCATTTTTCTTCTTATTTAAATTTTTTACTTCACCAAGCCATTCATTTTTTAGAACATCCTTCAGAGTTCATGCATCTTACTGAGGACACCTGACCTTTTGAAGCTTCATAATTCACATCTAGATGTCACCAGTCTTTCCCATGTTAACAGTTCTGACTATGTTTTATTATATGTGCCTTCGGCGCCGAGCCAGGACAGCTGCAAGAGGAGAAATGATGAACAGCCATAGAACTGTAGTATCAAACAGCCGGGCTTCACCTCTCAATGCAGAGGTGGTCCAATATGCCAAAGAAGTAGTGGATTTCAGTTCTCATTATGGAAGTGAGAATAGCATGTCCTATACCATGTGGAATTTGGCAGGTGTACCAAATGTATTCCCAAGTTCTGGTGACTTTACTCAGACTGCTGTGTTTCGAACTTATGGAACATGGTGGGATCAGTGTCCTAGTGCTTCCTTGCCATTCAAGAGGACACCACCTAATTTTCAGAGCCACGACTATGTGGAACTTGCTTTTGAACAACAAGTATATCCTATAGCTGTTCATATTCTGGAAACCTATCATCCTGGAGCAGTCATCAGAATTCTGGCATGTTCTGCAAATCCTTATTCCCCAAATCCGTCTGCTGAAGTAAGGTAAGACTCATTTTTAATTGCCTATACTTTGTGACTGAAAAGTATTCGTTGTTTCAACATTGGAGGTCTTTTTTTATTGGGAGCATTCTTATAGGTAATTTAAACAAATGATTTTGAAAATATTCCTTGATATCCTGATAGGCATGAGAGATCAGATGCATAAAGATTTAGTAAATGCTTTCTCCTCTAACCTCACAGTGTAATATTCATAGATCATAATACTTACTTGTCATAAAATTTAATCTAACTAAAAAGAACAATTTGAACTGTTATGAACATGAACTAATCTAGAGATTATTAGGTAATATGCCATCTAAAATGTTTTCACATAAGCATTGTTTTAAAATATTTTGAGTAACTCAAAATATGCTTATATACTGATACTTTAGAGAAAATCTTTGGAGGATTAAACTTAATGTTTAGTAGATGTTTTTGTAATAAGCATATTTGTTTAAAAATAACTGCTCCTTTAGGTAGTACATTCTCTTTGCAAGCCTATTGATGTGATTAATTTGCTTAGCAGTTCCTTTAACTATTTTTGCAGTTCAACCTTTTGATTTTTTTAAAAACGTAGCTGTTTGAGTAGGTGGTTAATCACATAGTCCAATAATCTAAAAGAGCATATAATGCAGCCTTACATATATCCTGTTCTCCATGTGCCTGTGAACCAACCTTTCTTCAAAAGCAAACACTTATTTACCATACTTTTTTTAAGTTATTTTCTGTAGATACAAGAACTACAAGTATATTTTTATTTTCTTAATTTACAAAAATGAACATTATTGTTTTGTATCTTGATTCACTGATATATTGAACATATTCAGACATGTGCCTTTTCCTCTTTCTTATGTCTGTAAGTAATGCTGAGTGTGGATGTACCCCAATTTATTAACGTCCCCAATCGATGAACAGTTAGTTGTTTGTAGAAAGTCTTGCTATTATTAACATTAGAGCAAAGAATGACCCTATCATAAGTTGTTTCACCTAAGTTCTAGTATATCTGTGGAATTAGCTTCCCAGAAGAGTTGCTTGGCCAAAGATACACATATTTGTAACTTTGATATAGAGGGCCAAATTTCCCCTGAATGCTCTGAACCTATTTATGTTTCTACTTACAGTCTACAAATATGCAGGTTTTAACAAAGTTACACCTATAGAATATGTTAATAAACTTATTTTTGCAGTTTAGTAGATAAAAAATGTTCTTTCATGTTAAATTTATTAAAATTCTTTTACAGTATTGTCTCTAAGGTTGAAGTACCTTTTTAAATATTTGAGATGTTTATATTTCTTTTTGTTTGAACTCCCTGATTATATTATTTGCCCATTTTTCTATTGGTGATATTACCAGTGTTTAGGTCCTTAGATCACCACTAGTTCTCTTCTTCATTAAATATTTTAGTGTCTCCCATGTGCTAGATATTGTTCTAGGTATTAAGGATACACAGTGAACAATGTGCAAAATGACAAAACTCCCGGCCCTTATGGGTTTTTTCTAGTCTGAAGTGGCTCCTGGGTACCTGTTAAACTTGTAGGCTCCAGATCAGGTGCTGTAGGAGAGAGCTGGTGTCAGCTGCCACTCCTGCGACCCGCTGCCTCCTGGCTGTCCCTTTCATTCTGAAGGGAGCTCTTCTTCAACCCACCACAAAACAAAGCTCAGCTCAGCTTGGATCAGAGCCTGCCAGGATAATCTTTTTGTTTTCAGAACTATTTTGATTATTCATTATGTACAGCATTATTAGTGAGTCATTAAAAACACAGAAAACCAGCATCCTTTAATACAATGGTTTTATTTCCCCTTGAGAAGGAAAAAATGTACAAATTTAGGCAAGATCCTTTCTTATGTGAGAATTGTTGTTATCAAGCTGTCACTCTGCCTCTTTCCTACAGCATTATCCACATTCTTTTCTAAAAAACTGAATGAGTTTGGGTATGAGATCTATGAAATCTGTAGTATGTTTTCTCCAATCTAAAACCTCATGGCTGTATAACTGATTTTGAGTACAAATCATTTCCTTATCCTGAAAGTCCTGGCATGTAATTTTGATTAAAGTTCAGTATATTTACAGATATGTCTCTAACTTGTTTTACTGGTATTTAACTTTATCCCTCAGAAAATACCATGAAATTTTTAAGAGAAAAGGAATTTGATTATAAGAAAAGCCATTTTAAAATTTTACTGATTATGAAATCAGAATATTTCAGTAAAAATATAGTTGGAAAATTCAAAAAGCAAAAGCAGCACAGAGAAAATACCTGTAATTCTGCCGCCCCAATTCAGTACCTCTTAAGGTTTTGGTGAATTTCTTTAGGCAGTGAGACACATTCATGGACCAACGCCCTTTTTTCCCATTCACTTCTTGGCACAGGACAAAGGGCCAGACAAAAAGTGGCTGTTCTCAGAGCTCCCAAGCCAGCCTGGAAGGGGATCAGGGACTCACAGGGACTTGGCAGAGGCCAGAACCTAAGCTAGAGGGCTCAAAAATCACTTCCTTTAGGAAGTGAATGACCTGAGCAGGAGGCTGCTGTGTGGCTGAGAAAGGGAAGAAGGAAAGCCCTTTCAGAGATCTTTGTGACTTAGCACAAGACTCTGTGCCCACCTTAAGAATGGGTAAACACGCGTTGGAGTATTTCTTTGTTGGAAGTGGACCTCATAATCCCAACCACTCAAAATGTAAAAGCGGCTTTCACCTATTTCATTCAACTTCTAGGTAGTTCTACAAGATATATCTTTGCTTACTTCTCACCAGTTCCTTGAGTAAAGGAAAACAATTGTGAGTGATCTGATCCTAAGTATAGCATCTCAGTGGATGCATGTTTAAGTCAGAAAATCGGCTAGCTCAGGGTTACAGTTGGGAAGGAAAAGTTAGGGAAAAAAAATGACAAATTGAAATCATATTAAAGATTGGAATTACATTGTGTGGGAATGAAAATTGGTGGCATGAATTTTTTTTTTTTTAATGTTGAAAGCACTTTATATAATGAAGTTAAGAGAACAGGGAGAAAGAAAGTGACTGTCCTAGAGAGAATTAGCTGCCAAAAAACGTTGCTTAAGCAATAGTTTCACAAATTTGTAATGATCTAGTCACTTTGACATTGTGGACCAAGAAACATGATTTTGTCATTTAAGTTAAAATTGATCAGGCCTTTCACACAGAATGGTAGTGTGTTAGTTGCCAATTGCAGATGGGCTGGGTTGTTGTCTCTGAATACAGATACTCAGGCTCTTTGTGTTTGATGAATTTTATTCTTTTCAGGAGAAAAATCTGTAAAATTAGCAAATATAGGGTAGCTATAAAGAGTCTAGAAATTATAAAGATTCCTACTGTTACAGTTCTCTGTTCTGTGGTTATTCATTCCCAGAGTGATGTTTAATAGAATTCCTATTGAATATTAAACTTCTGGGTATATATCCAAAACAGTGAAAGCCATATCCTGAAGAGATGCCTGAATTCTCATAATTGTGATGGTGCTACTCATACTGGCTAAGATATAGAATCAGCCTACATGCCCATCAACAGATGAATGAATAAAAAAACCAGGATATATATGTTTAATGAAGTATTATTCAGTGGTTAAAAAAACGAAATCCTATCATTTACAGTAAACTGGAGAATATTTTGTAAAGTGAAATAAGCCAGACAGAGGAAGATACCATATAGTATTTTTCTCATATGTGGAAGCCAATAAAAGTCAATCCCATACGTAGAAAAGTAACTGCTAGAGATTGGGAAGAATGTAGGGGCAGGAGTATTTCTACTCCTCCAAATCCAAGGAGATTGGATTTGATCAATGCTTTGCATATTTGGAATTATCACATTGAACCTTTTTAATATGTATAATTAATGTGATGTTAATAAAAAGTAATTTATTAAAAGTAAATTTTAAAATGAATTCCCATTGAAATTCTATCTTATGTTTTTATTCCTGAAAGTAGAGATTATGCAATGCTCCTTTGTTATTCTTCAAAGAGTGTGGCCCCTTCTTGGTCTATAGACTGTTAGGGTCTTTCTATGCCAATAGTTTCCATGTTTTAAATTTCTTCTGTGAGATTGACACTCTTGTTGAATTTAATTTCCTATATAGTGGTTAATCACTTTTTACTTTCATTTACTTACCACTTATCACTAGATCATTGTGCTAAGGAAATGAACCAACAGGTTTTTTTAGGGGGTGAGTAATAGTCTTTTATGATTAGTAAACATTTTAATTGTTATCAGTGAATTATAAATGACATCAGAAGGAGATATGCCTCACTTATCAAGTTAGAGATTATTTTAAAAATATATAATGCTTTCAGTGATTATTTTTATGTATTTTGGAAAGCATTTTGTAGTATCAAGCTACACTTTTTAGTTTGAAAAAAAGTCTGTTAACCAAATTAAGGAGAAATAGAAGACAAATGTTTATTGAAGTATTTTTGTTTCTAATTTTCTCTGCTGTATTAGAGAACAATGTTGACTATGACGTGAGAATTTTAAACACCTGATGAATGATAGTATGTTATGAAGAACCTGCATATCATTTTGGAAAATAATTTTATGAGAAGACTTACACGGACACGGGATATTAGTTAGGTAACCCTTGAAGAGTAGATGGGCAAATAATACGAGCAGGTTGGGCATTCACTGGGGCAAGACAACATGAACAAAAGATACAAATGGGGAAATAAAACTTACTTGATAGAAAGTAGCGACTAATTTGTATGGCTAGTAGTTCATTTAAAGGGATAAGAAAGAATGTTATTGACCTTTAATGTGTTAGATACTTACTAGTTACTGGCGGTGCAGGAATGACCAGTTGACAAAAACAGAAATTCAAGAGAAATGCATATATAAAAGACAATTTTCTGAAACAGTTAACAAAACTTAAGAACTATGTTTAAGAGAAAAAAATCAATAATCATGTATGTTTTGAGTTTGTATGAGGTTAGTAAAAGGAATGAAAAGCTATAGAAGGAAACCTTTGTGAAGTAAGATAATCAGTTTAGTTTCTACAGCTAGTTTAACATAACAGAACAGCTTTACACCTTACTTAGGGTTTGTTTATTTCTTTACATGGACCAATGTAAAATAGGTTACAATGTATATCTATAAAATTTAGTTTAAAACATTTTCTCATGTCCTAGAAACAATTCATGTGTTTTTTCCCGTTAATTTATGTGACACCTGTCTCTTATACTGTATTGCGTTAAAGTAGATCTCATTCCAAACTATATTATAAGGGAAGTTTCTTTCTTTGGCAGATGGGAGATTCTTTGGTCAGAGAAGCCTACGAAGGTGAATGCTTCCCAGGCTCGCCAATTTAAACCTTGTATTAAGCAGATAAATTTTCCCACAAATCTTATACGACTGGAAGTAAATAGTTCTCTCCTGGATTATTACACTGAATTAGATGCGGTTGTGCTACATGGTACAAAAGACAAGCCAGTGCTTTCTCTCAAGACTTCACTTATTGACATGAATGATCTAGAAGACGATGATTATGAAGAAAAGGATAGTTGTGGAATAGACAATCTTAACAAAAAGTTTAGCAGTGCTGCCCTCAGGGAAGGTCCAAATAATGGATATTTTGATAAGCTGCCATATGAGGTAAGCCAAAAATATTCAGTAGCAATATTGAATATAACACTGACTTTTTAATGCTTGGCTATTAATGTTTATTTTGCTGTTAATCAGAGAAATAGAGGCATTGGTAAGGAGCATATACTCTGATGTGTTGTAAATTTTTTTCAGTTATTCTGTTTATTAGAACATATTTACAGTACATAATGTTTGCTTTTCTTGTATGAATTTGGAACATGTATATTAAGCATCTTAATTCCTTTTTTTATCCCATTTTCGTCTCCCCCCTCCTAACTCCTCTATCTCTTCATGCTTTCCAGTTTGAGAAAGATCTGTTTCCCTACTTCCTATTATCGTTTATTTTATCATACATATATATCGATATCGATATAGAGTTTTTTGGTACTGGGGATTGAAATCACGACCTTGCATTTGCCAGGCAGGCACTTGTGCCAGTGAGCTAAATTCCAAGCCCATAATTTTAGTTTCTTATATAGGAGAAAAAAAATGCAGTGTTTAAGCTGGTGTTGTATATGTTAATTGTAGAGAAACTAGACAAAATTATATTAGTTAATTGTGCCTCATTTGTTAGACTTATTTTAGTGATTGTGCATAAGTTGTTAATTACATATTCTTGTATTACTAAGTAACATTAAACAAAAACATAGACCAGTAAAATATTACCACTTTAATTCATAACTACACAATGTCAAAGATTATTTGCTGTTAGAGATAGTATAATAAAATGTGAAATGAATGCTTATTTTATAACTATCATTTCCTTAAATGTTACTTGTTCTTCTGTACTAACTCTGTATTTTTGTACCATTATTTTTGGTCTAGGCAGATAGAGTGCCATACCTTGGTTCATGAACTTGATTCTTTCCACAATTCTGGTCACAAACTGAGGTGGATGAGAACTGAATCAAATTCAGTAGTTCAGTTCAGTGTTGATCTTATGGGGAAATTTGATTGAGTTCTCATCCAGTTTAGTTTGCAACCAGAATTGTGGAGAGAATTGGGTTCGTGAACCATGGTACCACTGCACTTTCTAGTTTGAAATTTGTTTTCACTGTGTCCCCACAGGAGTACTTCTGTAATATATTTAGCCTGCCTCCCCAGCATCAAATTCCAGTACGTTCCACAGCCATATGACACCAAAATTCCCCACCTGTTACCAAATATCCTTAGGGAGTGGAACAGAGGTGTGGAGAAAGTTTGGCTAAGGATTTATGTCACCCATGTCACCCACTGAAAACATTTGTGTGTGGTTAAAAATAATATAATCAACTTTCTAAAAAGACAAATTTATATACTAAAGTTTTAACCAAATTAGAAGTCTCCCTTCCAAAGTGGTATTTCAGATTCCATTATAAAAACAATAGCAGTTTAACATTCATGGGATGATAAGAGCCTGTCAGATGCTTGATTGTAATAGTAACCATGATACCTGTACAATGTTTTACACTTCAAATGTGGTACTCCCTGTGCAATAGGTAAAATTGCTAAACATAGATGAATTTAATTAAGAGCAGGATCAAGATCACCCCCAGGCTAAGCCAAGACTTGCGTTTTGGAAAGGAAGCTTCCTAGACTGGAAAAGACCACCTCGCCTCTACTGTGAGAAGGGAGGAAAGGTGAAGGAAGAGTTGAACTCTGAGTGAGGACATGAGGCACCGATGGTGCCTTTCCTCGGAGCTCTGAGGACATCTGCCATGGCAGCAGTGGAGGTGGTTCGTTGGGAGGCAAGGGAATAACTTCTTTGTGATTTATCCATTTCCTAAGATTTCAAACAGAAATTTGGTTCAATAAATATGTATTTTAGATAGTTTATTAAATTTTATTCAGTCCTAATAAAATGCCTTTCATGTAGCATTCAAGTGAATGATATGAGAGGATTTCTAGTAGAAGGAAGAGAATAAATTGTGTGACTTGTTGGAAAACTCCAATATTTCTGTATGACTGGAGTCTGGGATTTAACAGAGAAAACTGCAAGAAATAAAATTGGATAACTTAGGGCTTCCTCAGTACACAGCTCAATTCACATGGATAGTACTTGTTGGGACACCCTAGCCATAGCAATATAGAGCCTTCTCTGCTGCACCTCACAGGGCTTTCTGGCAGAAACAGAAAGTATTTAATCTCTCAGAATAAGCAGAAAAACACTTCTGTAATAAACTTTTGATTATAGACCGTAACATGGATAAGACTATCCACCAAGACTGTTGCCTTCTAGCTAACATGCCACCTCTTTGTGTTACCCTCCAAATTATCAAAATGAGAGAGTGCGAAATTGTAGATATAATCTCCTCTAACTTACATTTAAGGGAAAGAGATATGGTAAGTGGTGGAGATGCATCTGTTTATGATGCAGAAAATTCAGTATATTTATATAGAAAGGAAGGAAACAGTACAGAGAGCATCAAATGCATATAAAAACATTTAATCCGTACAACAAACTTCTGTAGAAGAAACCAAAAGATAGAGCCACTATTCCTGGAGAGCTATTAGCGATGATGAAAGAACACCATGTAAAGAGTTAATGCTGGAAAACACACACAGTATATTGAATTTTGAGGACAGATAGATCAGTTTTGTTTTGGGAGGCCTTCCTGACCATAATTGTGTATTCATTATACTACCCAAGGTACTTTATGCTAGGATTCCCCTATACAATCACAGGTTTTGACAGATACTAGATATTAGTTGAATAGTGATTAATGGGTATTGTCTTCTAAGCCTAAAAACTGCTATCTTTGTATAGTCAAAATTCAGGTGTGTTCATATGTCACTATCATGATTTTGGTGACTTCAGTGTTTTTTATACTTTCATATTTGTTTAAGATTTAATGCTGGGGCTGGGGATTTAGCTCAGTGGCACAAGCACCTGCCTGGCAAGCATGAGGTTGTGAATTCAATCCCCAGTACCAAAAAAAAAAAAAAAAAAAAAAAAAATACTAAGTTTTAAAATGTTTCCACCATTTAATGTGGTGACTTTTATTTGGAACCAGGGCATGCTGGCTGTTATTTAAATAACAAATCATCTGTGAAAAATAAATACTTCTGATACAGGATGACGACTCAGTGGTAACTGCTCAAAAGTTCTAGTGAAATACTTTGAGTGTTATAATTAAAGCAAAATATTAATTCCACAAATTTTAAAGTACTGCTGTTACCAAGCTCAGGTGATTCATAGTTGCATAGTTGCTTTTGGACATTTAAGAATGTATAATTCCTTTATTACTTAAATTTTCAAATCATAAAGAAGAAGTAACAGGGATTAGCACATAAAAAAACTGTGGACCAATTTCACTTATGTGAACACATTGATAAAATAGTGGCAAGTAAAATTATCTTTAAAGGATACTATAACAATAACATTCAGGATTTACTACTGGAATTTACAGATTTTGTCATAGATAATTTCTATAATAATACCATATTAGGTTAAAAGAAAAAATTTCTAAGATCATCTCAGTAGATGTACAAAACTAGTTGACAAATGACAGCTAAATAAATACCAATATTTGTGTCTGTTTCTGTTAACAATTACTTTATCAGTCTTGTAGATGTAAACCAAAAGCTAATAATCATATTTGATTATCAAACACAAGAAATGCATTGTCTAGCATGGTAGCCACTAGCTATATGCACTAGTAAACACTCAAAATGTGACTAGTGTGAGTTTCAACTAACACTAGTGTGTGCTAAAAGTGTAAAACATAAAGGATTTTAAATACTTTTATTTACAAATGCCAGACATCTCACGATTTTCACATTGATTATAAGTTATCATGATAGTTTTATAGGTTGCATAAACTAAAATAAAATTAATTTTGTCTGTTTCTTTTTACTTTTAAAAATCTAATTAGTAAAAAATTTGAAATTATATATACATATAGCTCATATTCATGGCTCATATTTGAATTAAAGCCAAAATTACAGCAGCGTTGTTCTGGGAGAATTGGCCGATACTGGTGGATATGAGAAAGGAAAAAAAGGCATAATTTTGTAATGGTAGCTATAAAGTCATCATTTACAGACAAAATGATTATATTTTAGAATGCTCAGGAGGATAAACCAATAACTACTTGGAACAATAAGTTGGCAGGTTGGAAAATTAATAGACAAAAAGCAATAACTTTAGGAACTCTAGGAGCATTAATTGTTAAGTCATACCATGCCCTTGAGTAGGAAAATAAGATTAAAGCTAAAATGTCAATTTTTTCTTAAAGTAGTGATATGTTTAATGAAATTTCAATTAGAATGCAACTAGAACTTTTAAATGAAAAATTCATCTAAGTAAGCAAAAAATAATCAGGAAAATCCTGGAAAAGGAAAATGATTTATCTTGTTTCTAATCTGCAACCAAGAAATCCAATGCATCTACCTATATACACTTTTAAAATTTTAGATGAAAACCTACTTGGTGTAGAAGATGACTGAAATGGGAAAAATAATGGATACATAATAAAATCTAGAGATAAGAAAAGGCCAGAAAGAGGGGAGAAAATACCAGCAACTTCTTTGACAAAGGATAAATTTTCTATTAAATTTATATAATTTACAAAATGAATAATTTAAATAAATAGAAGAGTAGCAGCAGAATTCACCATAGCACAAATAAAACAGCCCATGTTATTTTCTTTCTTTTGCCTTTTGGATGATAAAGTTTTGATACCAGTACTGCTAAGATTCAGGTGGATGGATACTAAATTACTGTGTATACATAAAATCTGAACATTTTAGAAGGGCTAGTTTGTGTATATAGCAAGACTTTTAAATGCAGGTAGCTTACTTTGAGGATATACATACAGAGTTTGCCAACATTAACTTACCTATTAAACATACAAAGTGACACTGCAAGATTATTTTCAACAGGAAAAAGCAGGTAATATACTAATAATCAGTTCAGTTATTATGTCACATGTTTGAAACAAACACTTGGTCCTGTTTGTACAGTTGGGGACTATCTATAGGGTATATCAGTAAATGAGAAAAACAAGGTACTAAACTGTATTTACAAT